AATTAACAGTCTCCAGTCTTCTTTTTTGTATTCAACACCAAACTCTTTGATCAGACCTAGAATGTCTAAATCACCTTCTTGTTCAAAAGTTTCGAAAACTGATGCTCTCTCTTCCTGTACACATATATGCTAGTTCCAACTGCTAACAAGTTCTTTTCTTTTATTCTAGAACCAAGCAATTAAGTTTTTTCTTTTAACCCAAGATCCCTAACTAAGTCGTTAAGCTCAATTTGAGTAAACAGTGTAGGCTCTATATTTACTGTAGCACATTGGAATTCTTCTTCTCTTTTTCATCTTGCTCATCTATATCTGACAGCGGAAAAACGGAACAGCTGATTAACGGAAAAACAGATTTAAACAGTACATCAGAAAACATTTCAGTTTGAACAGAATTCAAATCATCTGGAGCTGGGACCGGAAAATCTACATCGTGGCCTACTGGTCGGATGTCGGAAATTAGGTTAGGGTAGCTTATTATCTTCTTGTTTTTCGAGTTATGGCCAGTAATATCAATACTACAAATGTAGCAATCATCAGCGTGGTTTCTAGGTTCCCTCCATACCATAGGAACAGCGTACTTAAAAGCTTTTTTCTCCTTTCTCGATCATTTTCTAAGATCTTCAACACAAACATAACTTATCTTATGCGGGGCCCAAGATTTATCCTGATCACCAAGTTTAATTCCAAAATGTGAGAAATAAACCTTTTTTACAAAGTCTGTATTGTTTTTTTGATGGTTTTCAATAACAAACTCACCACAAATATAACAAAAACTGTCAGCAGAGTTCTTACAACCACGATTGGACTTTTTAATGAGCACATGTACTGGAAACCAGAAAGTAAGGTTAGGTTGACAGTAAACAAAACATCAGCTGTAAACAGAACAAAATAATTCCCCTTTTTCTGGACAGTGAATGTGTTTCAGCAGTGATGCCAACTCTTCTACATCCAGCACAAATTATTCTACAATTTTATTTGAAGTATATAAGAGCTGTTAAATTCTGTAATAAATCAAAAAATTTAATATATTGATGTGCAAATGTGAAGAAATGGTAGGTGATACGGCCTAATAAGTGTCATATTTGTATTTAGCACCCTAAAAAACAGAATAATAAGGTGTTTTAAGTAAAAAAAGTTTTATCATCGTTGGCCTGTGTAATCTCTTATATTTATTATACAAGGCGATATTTGATGAATATTTCTGCCTCTTGTCGATTCAAAATTTGCGCCCTCGACTGTACATCAGACGTCCAGATTTTAGGTAGGCTCTTTGTCAAAACGTACCGTCTCGAAAAGGAGCACAATTACCGCAGCATACAGGACGTGCTGCTGGGCCATTGTTGAAGATATAAAAGGACACCATGAGGGTCCCCATTGACTATGATAATACTAATGCCTCTTAATGCTCCCGATGGGCACTGATGTTTAAATAAAGAGGCGTACGCTTGAAAAATCTGTGTGAAATTATTTAGTGTTCGTANAAAAATTGAGATTGATTGAAAAATGCACATTCTACAGGGGTGGTTCCATTTTAAATGGGTCACACTGTATATAAAAAAGTAAAAGTCAATTTTATAAAAGAGTAGACATAAGTAACAACTTAAGAGCTCCTTAATGAATAAAGATAAAAAATATACGTTAGTCAAATAAAAGCTATCGTTAAAATATGCATCCAAAGTATGATAGGGTCTATCAGATAGAAATTGTTTGACTAACTTCCTGAATTGGAAGTCATTCTGTCTCTGTCTGTTTAAAATCTGTTTTTCCGTTAACCAGCTGTCGCACCCCTACGAACGACAACCCTCAGAAGTCGAAACTTGTGCTAGCTAAAGATTAACGAGGTCTTACCTTTTAACGTGTGATTCCTAACACGGGTTGGACGATAGCAAGTGAAGGTCGATCGTTCAGACTAGGGCTTGGACCACCGACCAACACGGCAGTCAATTCGAGTGAGTGAACAAGGCACCCGCGCCGAACCGCTTGGCTACCGACCGACACAATATTGGCACATATTGGCAGATCTTATGTCCGCATTTTTCCACCGTTGTAAAATATGGAGTCTCTGGTAATGTTTTTAGTTGGCACAGTGAGTTTCAGAGTGTGTCTGCAGTTTCGGGTGTTATTGATTACATTAGCCCTTATATAACACCACTGTAGGTAATAATAGAGGTACTTAGCTTAATTGAGTACCTGAAATTTGTTTACTAGTGACAATGCGGATGTGCTAATTTGAAAACCGGTGAGTAAACTAAATCGATTTGATCATTTAACAGGTTGCACCTGCAATGTTTATGCTTGTGAATTTCCAAGGATTTTAAATAATCGAGTTTGCAACTCTTCCTTGCATTGTGCAAAATTTTCCGTATCGTTTTGGTTCGAGAACTTGTGGTTGCATGCCAAGAAATGGTTTGAAAACTTTGAATCATTTTTACCGAGTCTGGAGAACTTTTCATCTTCAGCAGCATACCGTTTCTGGAAATTTAGACCACATTATCCCACATAAACACTATTACACTCCTAGCACTTGAACTTATAAACTCCAGATTCCTCCAACTTGTCTTTGGCATTGAAAAAGAAATCGGATAACCTGACATGTGGTCTGGATGCCACTTCCATATTGTTTTTTCTGAAGAAACCTGCGATTATTTCTGATCTCTTTCCAAAATATGTTAGCGTTACCCATTTCTTGATTTCTGGTTGTTTGACCTGAGGATATATTAATCTGTAAGTGAATGTATGGCTTTGTTTCCTGACTAACTTCAGGATAGTATCTGCATTGAAACCGTCATTATGATTATGATGATATATTATTATGATTATGAGATAACCTGGCATGTGGTCTGAATGCTACTTCCAAATTGTTTTTTCTGAAGAAACCTGCGATTATATCTGTTCTGTTACCAAAATATGTTAGAGTTACCCATCGTAAAATCCCAGTATTTTTCAAAAAGAAAAATGTTCTATTTATCAGTAACTTGTCGTATTTAACAATTTTGCCTATCAAAATAATTGCTAAGAAATAATACAATACTTATCTTTATGTTTCGGGCGCCAAAATCTGCCTCCTTCTACGAAATGGAAAAAAAAATTTAAGATATTTGCAGTTATTTCTTTTGATTATTCATTTCTTAACTTCTTCGACAGATGTTAAAAGAGTTTTGAAATATGAAATTATGTCAATGTTGTTGATTGACAACTGAAACATTTGATGTTGATGTAATACAAGGTGCTCTCCGATACCAGTCTGTTGCCATTTCACCACTATCCAAATTTTTCTTCAAGATGGGTAGCCAAGCACGGTCTATTTCTAAAGAGCTGTTCGAAATACAATTCTCTCCAGATATGACAATATACGCTGATTCTTTTAGCTCACGTCTCTTAGAGTGAGGCTCATTGATAATCATTCTTGTCTTGTTCAAGTTTAATACACAACTTTGTTCCAAATAGGTAGAACATAATAAAGTACTGAATCAAAGCGATGTACAACGTCTTTATTTCATCGAATCAATTGTGAGCTGAACGAAATTAAATGAAAACATATAAATATCGGAATGTGATGAAGTCATTACAGCTTTTAGACGAAAAATAAACAGTCATTATGAAAACTTCATTGCACAATTAACTAAGTTAATTGTCACAGAACACGGGAATTTCAGCCGAATCGTCAAATTCGTAATGTCATTCAAAGCCTATCTTGACCTACTGTGAACTGTTCAATTTAAAATTATGAATGTTTCTTAAAGAATACTCCGCGTGCTTCGATTATCCTTGGAATTGTTTTCTCCGTCACGAACAGTTTTAGAAACTTTTTCATGGAAAATATTCGTGATCCCAAAAAAATGTACACTATAGATTACAAGTGAAAATTACCAACGAACAAATCATCTTGTCCATTTCGATAAGAGATTGAGTTAACCCGTCGTTCTGTAACTGTCTGTTTTGTCTCATACAAAAGTTCGATTATCGTCCATACATCAGTCCGAGAGAGTTCGTTTTCGAAACCTTAAAATAGGCGAATATTATTCGAAACAACACATCAACTGCCGGCCGAAAACCGACATGAAAGAAACAAGTGTCAACTCGAAGAGTGAATGGCGTTGAAGAGAAAGGAGACGGAGAACATGCCGTCCGTGTTATCGACAGAGAAGGAGAAAAACCATTTGGTTCACACATGTTTAAGAACTAATAATGCTCTTTATAATATATTTCGTTCAGACAGTTTCTGGGTGAAAAAAGAGGAGTTATATAAACAAGAGTAATTATTATTTTCTTATTTGGATGACAGATTTAGAATTTGTTTTATGAGCGTTTCTATTTGGAGGCCATCAATTTTGGTGCGAGTTTCCTTATTACTTTTTTTTTCAAAACTTTCTTCCAGACACCTGTCTGAACGATTTTTTCAAGTTTGTTGCTATTTCCTTTTAAGTAATGCTTCAATACACTTCGATTATTTTAACTTCACCGATACGTCATCGTTGATGTGCTTATGAAATAAATCGCGAAATTGTGGTCAAATTTAAGACGAAGTGGCTAATATCCCGATAAAAATTATAACGTGTAGGTAATGACAATAAATCAACATTTTCAAATTTATGAAATGTCGGATCCTAACGACCTCAAAAGTTAGTTTTCATGTAGATGTGACAGTTAACGAAAAAGGTGGCATTGCAATGTTTCCAAAACATTTGCAGACATTAATATTAACAAACGAGTTTCCATTAAATCATTTTAGAAAATCATGAAAAAATTTAAATTGATTGGCTTTTTTTTTGCTTTTTTTTAATTATTCCCCACATCATTTAAACCTTGTTTGTAAATAATGTATTGGATGATGGTCTTATGCATATAATTCATTTGTTATTCAATAAACAGTATTTCCTATATTGAGTCTGTCTAGTGCATTTAATCCTGAAACACTGTGAAGAGTGCCTAGCCTTCAACTGTTTCACAATTTCTATACATTGAAATAACAGATAATTGACAATTTCAGTATTTAATTGATTTTTTCTTCCAGCATGCAACCTGGTTACGGTTCCACAGGACCGGCAACGCCCTACATAAATTCGGCGTCGTCCTTCTACAACGCCTCCTCGTACCCCTACTCGGGACTCAACTCTTCGCGGGCTCTCAACCCCGCCTGCAAAGTGAGCGCCGGCTACATAGCGTCGTCGTACGCGTCGCCGGCGTCGCCTTTCAACTCGACAGGGCAGGCCAGTCAATACCCTTCCTACGCTGCGTACGCCGCCCCCGGAGCGTCTTCCTTTACGCAGGGATTCTCGGCACAGGTAAATATCGAGAGGGCGAAGACATTCGGGCGACATCTTTTGTTCGTTTGTGGAAACTTATTCGTGGCTTCAATTCTTCTTCTGTATAAATAGCATGTGCTGGCATGCGAATCCAGGCATTTATTCAGGGGGACCTAAGAGTGGGCGACATCTAGGTTTGATAGATTTGAATCGAACTCAAGGAAAACATTGGCTATTGCAATGAAGTTACATATATCTAGTTGTTCAGAAATGTAAAATCAGGTCTTCATAATGACTAATAAATCAAAGAGGTATTGTTTAGTAATGAATCAAAAAGGTACTGCCAGCAGGGAAACTAGCAGAGAATTAGCCAACTATTCAACGGATTAATTTCTTCTGATAATGGCGCTACTCAGACCACAATCGCAACGATGTGTGAAAGGTCGACGAGACATTATTTTTGTTTTACCGTCTGACATATCTAATATTTCCGACAGACGTCATGTCTGGATGATAAAATACTCCATACTTTTATCAAATGAAGTGTGGTCTATGGCAACAATAAAATATTTCCTGAGTTTTATTTCCTAATTGTAAAACATATGTGTCACCCACACCGTGTTTCTCTCGAATAGTAAATATAATCTTTGTATAAGACAGTTCTTGAATTCACCGTTGAACTCATTAATTTCCGAAACTATTTTTTTCATCGCTTCATGGATCACCGATGTGACGTTCTTAAATTTTTATTACGAAAATTCATTGTGTTACTTCTATCAACAGCATATCTGATGAACTGCTGTTAAATTCAAGAACTCGCCTNCTCCCCTCTCATAGGTTCATCATTTGTAGAGAAAATTACAGATCGACATTTTGAAATTCCTGGAATTATTTTATTTTAGTCGCATTAAACTGTTTACAGTTTCGTACCCTCAACGTTGGGAATTCATCGGAAATATAAGCGTTTTTGGTCAATTAGCTACGTTCCAAAAATACTATTTCTAAAGGATATTTATTGCGCGGGTTATATAAACATAAACTCAAAAAATAGCACAATAAATATAAATCATCCTTAATACAGATTATTCTCTCCTATAAAATAGGTTACCTATGTTTTTTGCCCACTGTCTATTATACACATTCCTCTAACATTATTTTTCGAAGGAAGCCATTCTTCATCGTTGTCTGTTGAACATGGATCTATAAAATTTAAAAAACTTTTACGGCACTACAAGAATAAGAATTATTAGTAACTTATCTACGTGATATATTTTTTCAACGTCACTCATTTTCGCAAAAAAAAACAAGGCAACTACATGAATGGAGCAACACAACGAAAATAACAAAACACGCACTTTTCTGTATCTGATATCACTCCGTTTATTGGTACTTTTTCAACACTTGGGTTCTTCTTGCCCTCTCGTCACTAGATAGAGTAATTAAAAGTACATTCAATTTATATATAGATGGCGCTACTAGTTTAAACTCGCAAAAATGTTACTTAGGGACTTTTTGCATAGAGCTCTTCAATGGAGAATGTTCCTCAATTTGGGTTATTACAGCAAATGCAAGTTTCAACAAAATAAAGTTGAGTTTAATTCATGAGTTTTTCAAATTCACTTCGAAAAGTATTCAAATTGATGTTTCAAGTGTTGGGTTTTAATTTTTGAAAGGATTTGTTTCTAATTCACATATTGGCAACAGCGCCTATATCAAGTTGAAGTAATTTATACGTACCTAGATATTCTACTTTAAAAAAGGAAAATTATCTTTATAAATCAACAATTAAGGCAAAATATAAATTATAGTTCAATACCTCCTCCACAAGCCACATAAACAATAGGTGTTTTGTAATTTATTTCTATAGAGGAAGATAGGTTAGGTGCACAAAATGTCATATGTCACAGAATGTCTCGGAACATAAATGAACAGAACAGCACGCCTCTGAAATATGTCATCTTTGTTTTTCTCATACACGTAACAGATTCATTGTCCTTTATTAGCTATAACCGATGTTGTCAAATGGTGAAATAGAAACGAATCCCTTTAAATGTTGAATGCATTATTTCATTCCTCTTTTTAAGTATTTAAATAATTTTTTAAATAAAAAGGTTGAAATGATAGTTAAGAGCTCTTTTATGAAAACTACTTGTTTTTCGTCAGGAAGAACATTCCACATTGTTGAATGATGTCAACGGCAATCCAGATGGTGACGAGTCATGGGTATATGGTTATGACATCAAAACCAAAGTTCAATCGTCCCAATTGAAGAACCCAAGAGAGTCAAGACCAAAAAGAGCACGCCAAGTTCGATCGAATGCATCAGGAGTTCTTCCCACATGGTCGTACGGAGTATTATCTTGAAGTTATGCGCCGCTTACGAAAAGCAATAATATGAAGAAAACCACAGCGATGTGGATGTCTGTTGCCTTCAGTACCAGTTGGCTATGGTATCCCTGGTCGGGGGCAATGAGTTCCGTGGTTTCAAACAGAATTCTGTGGTTTCTTTCACTGATTGCGTGTTCTGTCACACCTGACTTGTTAGTTTGGCCTAGTTTGCAGTTTCTTTCATTCTACTTCAGCCTTGTTCCCATAGATCTTCTGGTGGTTCCTATGTATTCTTTTTCACAAGTGCGTGCACGCTATGCGATAAACCCCTGCTGCTGGTAGTGAATCCCTTTTGTCTTTATCTGACCCGAGGCTTCGTTGTATCTTCTTGGTGGGTACGAAAAAGAGAGAGACAAGAAACATGACAATGACAGGAGGAATGGAGGAAACACCTCCATGTCATGGGGCTAGTGGACACACCTCTATCAGGATGTGTGAACAGGAAGATGAAACTGTCAGGCATGTCTTATGCGAGTGTCCGGAGTTGTCGTCAATAAGAGTGTGTGTGTTCGGTGAGTTTTGGCCTACACCGGCCGATATAAAGGAGATGTCTCCCAGAGACCTGTCCACCTTCCTGGAAAGGACAGGATGGACGATGACCTAGGAGAACAACTCCTCGGGAAGATGTACAATGAGTCACATGTGGCCTTAGTGCTGTGGACCTTCACTCACCCTCCCTACTCTACAGATACAGATAAGACAGTGACATCTGTCGTGGAATTCAGTTTGAGAATAAGTTTGTTCATGTTAAAACAATAGAACAGTTGGATCGGCCGCGAAACCCTTAACCATTTTGTCATTATCATGCTCCCAAACTAACCCTAATTAGTTCCAGATCAGTTTGTTTTTTCTACACAGTCTTGGGAACATCAGAGTACCTCTTTATTAGAAAAAAAGTCGAACAGGACTTCCACTATTTGTCGAGTTTGACCAACACACTTTTACTCCCGAATCGTGTGAATCAGATCTTCGAACTTGCCCCAACGACCACTCTGTATTCGCAGACCAAACATCTCGGCATTAATTCGAAGAAACGGCCCGTCGGGTCCGAGATCACGAAGAGACACGTCAACGTTTTCGTCTCTATCCGGCGCGGCATTAGACGGAGACGGGCGTCGCAGGTGAGTTATGGCAAAAATGGCTTGACAAGTTGTTGGCTGTGACGTGTACGGTGACATATGTCTCTTAGGCCGGGCATAAATTTCCTTTTTTTTCTCTCTTCCCTTGATGCTGCTCCGTGTTGCGAGAGAGATCGAGATTACGCCCGAGGTCTACCTACGGTTCGGTCGACATTATTCGAATGGGATTTATCGGTCGGGGGTGTCTGTTGACGTTTGACGAATTGTTGGTATGCCCGTGATTATTGTGGATTTTTTTTATGCTTTCATGGAAATATTGCAACCACTTTTTCAACAATCAAGTGTGTTTTTGGTCTTTACTGTGACAAGGAAATTTAGGTTTGGAGCTGTTATACCTCAATAGCTGAATTCTGTGGGTGAACAGCAGAACAGAAAAACACAAGTTACTCTAATATTTCAATAAAATTCGTTATCATCTTCAAAGAAGAGTTATAAAAGTTACAATGGTAATAGTAAAATTTACAATTAGGTTAAGACTTACTGTTATTGAGAATGGCAGTGTCAAAAATGATGTGCTAGTTACTTAAAAGAGAGAGACAAGAAACATGACAATGACGTCTGTCATGGAATTCAGTTTAAGAATATGTTTGTTCATGTTAAAACTATGAAACAATCGGAACAGTTCTGGTGCAAGTGTGATGAGAGACATCTGCTGTTGATGTATGCATAACAATGATATGTTATTAATATCAACTTGAAATTTAATTAATAGGACCTACAATTTCTTAGTAGTGTGAAGAAAACTTTATGCTATTAAGAAAAAATATTGAATAATAAATGAAAATTGGATCTGAAGTAATGTTTTACTGAGGAGCAATATTATATTATTAAGTTATTGATTTATGTGAAGGAGTAAAAATTATAAATTATTTGAATGAATTTTCGGAAATTTTACTATTTTGAATCTCCTCCCCCGGTGACGGCATCGACCACCGTCCATCCTGCCCCCGACCCGCTTTCCACGACGACGTCAACGACAGTACCGACTGTTAATTTTTCCTCTTCTTGGTCGCTTTTGGAAACTCAAGGTTTGTACAAATATTGCTTTGGAACATTTGCAACTTCACGTGACCTTGTTAAAAATATACCTATTGAAGACGCTGGTGTGGAAAGAGTGTTTTACTAGACACCTCGAAACGTTTAGATATATTTTTTCTTTGATAAACGATGAGTTTTCAATAAAATGTAAACTTGTTCTGTTTTATTTTCTGTTATTCAGAGTAATGAGTATTTTAATTCAATTTTTTTTTTCGGCATCGACTACATTGCCTCGTGTCCTGGGTAGGCAGTATTATTAACTCGCCAAGCCACCTAGGGAGCATCATGACTATTCGCAGTCCACCAGCCATGTAACGATGCTAATAATAAAAAGCTGAAAAAAATATGTTGATCGTTTTACTTGCTTTCTCAAATTTTGTTCTGAAAAAATATTGACATTTCCGACTTTGATTTTTTTTAAATCACATTCAAATTTCAGGTGTGAAGAGCGAAATAAGAAGCCCCGGCTTGGCGGAGCCCGACTGCGTAGCGGCAGTCCAAGACTCTGCCTCCTTTTATGGCACTCCCCTCGATCTAGGAAACTTGTACGATAAAGATTACCACCAGACATACTCGGCAGCACATTCATATTATAATAGGTATTTTTTTATTATATTATGTGTTTTTTTTCATTTTTTTTATAGTTCAATAACATATAATTCATTACAACATTGAAATCTACAGTTCAAAAATAACTTTTCAAAACGCTCAAAAGTGCGAACTCGTTTCCTTCTTTTCATAAAAGAGGATGTATGCATCTCAACTCACAAGCGATTTTGGTGAAATTGATGACACGTGTGAATCATTGTATTCGTGCCACGTGCAAGTATAATAATGTCTGCAGAATGCTGTATAATGTCCGCTGTAGATAAATTTAGTGTGATTCGAAAGTGCATATAGATTATAACGACAAGGAATCACATTGTCTGCTGCATAATTATTCATATCTAATCTATCTAGAGGAAATTCGATGGCAACATTAAACTGCCTCTAAATTTTTCTGTTAGAGAAAATCGTTTAAAATGAATGACTGAAATACGGGGCAACTTATGGATTGATAGAGACTTTGTGCATTTTCTTCTTTCCTTGCAACTTGAACACGTCGGTTTTTCATGTCCATCCAAAGTTTCCTCTCTTGTGAAGGAATCCAAGCACTGTGATAAACTTAATTGACCAGTTCTTTGTGGTAGATATAATAGATATAATCCCAGATGGAGGTTACAGATGAGTGTCCACAATGTGTGCATTTCATCGTGGATTTCAATTGACCAACGAAATTATCTACAACTTTAGAGTTATATGTACTCAAATAAATCAGCCATGACTCTTGTGCTTTTTCGCTGTCGCTCAATTTTTCCTTAATCTCCGTTAAGATCGGTTTAGGTTTCTCAATAATTCTATTAACGTCATCATGTGAACCTTCTAAAAGATAGCGAAGGAACTCCTGGGCGTTTTGATGCGCATGACCCATGAATCGGGGCCAAAACTCTGAATCTGACTTTTTAAGGAAACCATGTTCACTGCTCTATCAGATGAATCTTCTGACCACGATTCCTTGATAACTTCTGCTATTCATGATATGAGGGTTAAAAGTAAGGTTTCATAATAAAACTTACTTATAACACACATACCATACAAAGTTTTTTGTACAACTGTCCTGTTTTCATAATAAAATAGATAAATTTTATATTTCTATGGAAGCACATTTTGATATCTCTTGTCAGTTAACTATTTCATATTATCTTTGCTGTGAAGTGGCCGTGTCAGGTGACGCTGAATCTCCTGGTTACAAACAAACGGTATTGTTTACAACTCACGCGTTTTATTTAAAGTCACATTTAAGGTTCTTGCTGGTGTTTGTTGTCTTGCATAATGAAGAACAATAGTGAGGAATTGTGTGTTCTTGACGATATTTAACCCCTTATAACACTGAACATTCAAGTCATCAGCCTGATTGGTATGTTAATTTTTCTAGGAAAATATGTTCGAATTGGGGTTAGTTTTGGTTCAATATTCATTTCGTAGGTCGTCTTAATTGTTTCATTTTTTTCTGAAAATAATTTCTTGTGTACAAAGATAAGTATACGAGGTGGGTTTGAGAGTTCTCAATAATAATCGATAGTGATTCGTTAGCTATAGAGGTTAATTTCGAATACCTTTGTAATCCTCGGACGCTATTGTTGGAGACGGAATCCATTTCGTGTTGTGAATGTCCGCCGTTATATAACGAACCAGCAGCATAAATAAAATAATAGTAGTGTAAATAAAAAGTATTGAGTGTTGAAATCAATAGTACTCCCATTCACGCCGGTTAGAGGCCGGAGTGGAACGGATGTCCACGTGGGAGTAGGATCGCAACAATAATCTTTATAAAGCAGACGATCGTTCATATCCAAGCACAATAGACCACATTCCGGACACAGACTTGCAAGCGGCAAGACAGTCTTCGTCCCTCGACGAAGCTTTTGTTATGTGACAGCCAGCTATATATATATATTGAGAGAGAGAGAGAGATATTTGCACTTCACGAATTGTAAATATCATAACAAAGAGATTCATGTAATTAATTCCACAAACGTTACGAAAAACTAGCATTTGCTTGAAAACTACATCGAACAATTTTTACTTTCAACACCCACACTGTTGGATGTAAACTACAACATAATATTTTGAACTCATCTGCAGCTAAATTCTTGGTGAAAAAGATTATCACATGGGATACAAATCTGTTACATGAAGAAATACGAGTGTATGTCGGTCGGTACACTGAAAACTGAAAATATAAATCCGTTCCACAATGAAATGAAAAAACTAGGTAAACTTAACAACAACTGTAGACGGTTTATTTATCTATTTTCTCTGATAACAGGTCAATGTGGGTATATTCTGGGCAAGATATGATATCGAAGTCTCATGTATGTTCAATTCAGCCCCTTAAACTGGCCTAGTGCATTTAATCCTGAAACACTGTGAAGAGTGCCTAGCCTTCAACTGTTTCACAATTTCTATATTCCATACTTTTATCAAATGAAGTGTGGTCTATGGCAACAATAAAATATTTCCTGAGTTTTATTTCCTAATTGTAAAACATATGTGTCACCCACACCGTGTTTCTCTCGAATAGTAAATATAATCTTTGTATAAGACAGTTCTTGAATTCACCGTTGAACTCATTAATTTCCGAAACTATTTTTTTCATCGCTTCATGGATCACCGATGTGACGTTCTTAAATTTTTATTACGAAAATTCATTGTGTTACTTCTATCAACAGCATATCTGATGAACTGCTGTTAAATTCAAGAACTCGCCTTAGCAGAACTGGAAGATTTTTTTGTGTAGTGATATGTATTGTCAATCGATAGAAGATGTATGAAACAACTACAAGTGTCGCTAGGGTTCAGCAGAAGTCATTTCAAGTTTAGTCAATGAATAGAATACATTTTGAAAAATTACAGGACTTTATTATTGTAATTGATGTATAAAAAACATAATTTTACTGAATCAGAAAATCAAATATAACCATAATTCTTATTCCAGGGGGTGGAATACAGCTCTTACGGAACAACGTATACCGATTCTCAAACTCCACAATTTCCTTCAAGTTATTATGCTCAAAGCTACTCACCATATGTCAGTTCGCCCAGTTCTAGTGGTAGTATAGGAGCTGCTTCATATCAGTTGACTACTTCATCTATATTAGGTGTGTATATAATTTAAACGTTAAGAAAGTGTTTCTAAATTGTTTGTAATTTCCTCAGCTGGTTCTTTCATTGGTTCACGGTAATAGTTTTTTGTTGTTAATGAATTTGAATTACACAACTCTGAATATTATCGAATTCATTTTGTCTCGGTGAAATGACTCAAACTTCATCTCGAGAATAAGAATATAATATTATTTAGTAAAAAATGTTCAAGTGTTTGATCCGGGCTGCTTGTAAAAACAATTTCCTGGCCAGATGGCCCTAACAGAGAAAATTAAAAAAAAGAAGAAGAATTATTTTTTGTTTGGTTGGATTGAAGGTTAAAGCGGAGAATGTTGGTGTCAAAATGGGTTGTTGATTTTAAGTAAATGTTGATATCATTGTTACCGAGTTGATACATGATTGCCAGTACGAGTTTTCACGAATTTCGATATAGTTTAAAATGCTATTATGCCCCTATAGTGACACGAGCGATTCAGAATCAGAAGGTATTTAACAAAAGGTTCATTGTATTTTCTGTTTATTGTATGCACTACATTTGTTATTTTTGTGTATATTATGAAATTCATGAAGTTCCAACATATATCTGCAGAAATTTACTAGATGTAATTTTCCGAAAATTGGCTGAACTAATAAAAACACTGCTGGATCATACGCCAAAGTTTTACTTTTGTTGATGTTAATCAGTGTAAGAATTGATACAAGTAAAAATGATGCAGATGTTCTTATACTATGAAATTTATGGCTTGATTACTTCACAGACAATTCCTCCAATGGCATCGCCCTAGCTGAAGGATCAACATCACCATTGAAAGCAGACAGTGCGAGACGTTCTAGAGAATCGTCGGGTAGTTTGGGATCAGAATCTCGGGCCACAAGGGGTCGAGGAAGACGGACAAACACTGTTTCACCGACGACCCCTGAATCGACCACAGACAGGGTGTTCATCTGGGACCTGGATGAAACTATAATAATATTTCACAGTCTTTTAACGGGCAGCTATGCAACCAAATATCAGAAGGATCCACAGAGCGTTGTCCAGCTCGGATTCAAGATGGAGGAGATGGTTTTCAACTTAGCTGACACTCACTTCTTCTTCAATGACATTGAGGTGAGAGACACTCTTTGAAAATATTAGTTATGGTTGTTACTTTATCAGATGTCCCAAAAGTTTGTATTTGCTCTATATATCGATAATGCTGATATATATGAAAAAAAGTGTTGTAATAATGGAATGGAATTATTGTTAGAACACACAATGTAGTTGTGAACTAAATCTAATCGCTTAATTTCAGGAATGTGATCAAGTACACATAGACGATGTATCTTCAGATGACAACGGTCAAGATTTGTCGAACTATAACTTCACTACAGACGGTTTCCAGTCTTCGTCGACGGGCAGTGGCAATTTGTGTTTAGCGTCAGGCGTAAGAGGTGGAGTTGACTGGATGAGAAAGTTGGCCTTCAGATATAGAAAGATTAAAGAAACATATAATAATTATAGGAGCAGGTGAGTTTGAAAGAGAATTATTTTTTTAGTATTATTATTTTCAAATATGAAACAAGGTTTTTTTCATGGTACTGATATATATTCTTGAATGAGGTTATTCTAAAGAATTATTTTCTTTTGTGTAATTCAATCTTTATATGAAAGTAGCTGTTTCAGGAGGACTTTCTTTCAGTTTGTGTCGGAAAGTTACTTCTTTGCATGATCTACACATCCATGTATAGAGTTACTTATTTTAAAATTGATTACTTCCTTCGGAAGATTCTCTCATCCCTTTTTTTTTGTATCAGATGGAGTAGTAGAAAGCCAAAAACTTTCTTTCCCAAAAATTTTTAATTCTTCTTTCGAATCATTTAGAAAATCATGAAAAAATTTAAATTGATTGGCTTATTTTTCCTTTTTTTTAATTATTCTCCACATCATTTAAACCTTGTTTGTAAATAATGTACTGGACGATGGTCTTATTATGCATATAATTCATTTGTTATTCAATAAACAGTATTTCCTATATTGAGTCTATTTTCTATTTCTCTCAGTGTTGGGGGGCTTCTGGGAGCCTCGAAAAGGGAGCAATGGCTGCAATTACGAGCAGAAATCGAATCGGTCACAGACAACTGGTTAACGCTGGCCAACAAGTGTTTGACGTTGATCAATTCTAGACCGAATTGCGTCAACGTTCTAGTGACAACTACTCAGCTCATACCAGCCCTAGCGAAAATATTGCTGTTTGGACTTGGAGGCGTTTTTCCCATTGACAATATTTATTCTGCAACAAAAATAGGTATAGTTTTATTTTATTTTAGAACACTTGCATTGTTCATGTTTTTCTTACACTTTTTGGATATTTCAACTTCCCACTATCTGATAAAGTATGAATTGTCAAGTGTGGTTCAACTAATCATGAAACATGGATCAGTAAAGTTCTGGTATACGGAGATGGGTTTTTGTATGATATCTTCAAAAAATTATTGAATCAAATCCAATACCGAAAAATTTAAATGTTTTGAAGTTGTTTTTCACATTTTTGTGTTATTTTTATAGTAGTAATAATGATATCAATAAGTCTTTAGGAAAACACAGTTTTTTTGACATGTCACTAAAATTTTCCAAAATAGGATTATAAAAAATTCTTTGAATTAAAATGAAAAGTTCACATTGAATATAAGTTGACTGTATCATATTGTGTAGTAATTTCTCGTGTTGAACTTTTCTGATTTTCGTTAACATGCAAAAAAAGAATACTCATTGATTTTTTTCCTTTGTTATGAAGCTGTAAAATAAGTATTGACATCACTAATTCAAAATATTTTTGTTTCAGGTAAAGAAAGTTGTTTCGAAAGAATCGTAACGAGATTCGGTAGGAAATGTACTTATGTAGTGATAGGAGATGGTCAAGACGAAGAAGCGGCAGCAAAGTCATTGAACTTTCCTTTTTGGAGGATAACAAGCCACAGTGAAATTGCTGCTCTTTACAATGCTCTAGACATGGACTTTTTATGATTTGATTCCTTTCTTTAATGCAATGAAATTGCACTACCATACATTGTTAAGAATATTAAGAATATACAATGTTAAGAATATTAAGAGTTATTAGCAACTATATGATCTATTATTTTTTTCTCTTCTCTATCATTGTTATGATAGTAAATAAGTATTTTTATAATTATTTTGTCACACTCACTGTATAATTTTTAGGAGGGGTGGAAGATAGCCTTTAACTTTTCCTTTTATGTATAAATGTATATTTTATAAATATTATTTTAAATATAAGAATCGAAAAGTATGTAGCGTATTCATTTGTTTCCGTTAATTGAAAAATGCACAAGTATTAGTGCAATGTCAGATCTTATGATTTTCGCACATTTCACTGTGACACCTTGTAGTATTTTGTAAAATCAAGTCATTTCGATTATTGCTTCCATCTATTACTCAGCGCCCAAACTGTAGCAAATATAAAACCTCGACTATTACTTGATAGATGTCATAACATGAAAGAGAATCTACTTAGTCGGCTAAAGTTGTTTCAAAATGAATGACAGGACTTTTATTGAGTGTATGACCCGTTTGTCCTTCTGGCAAACATCAGTTCAAAGGGTAAGGGAGCCAGGCTCCAACCTGATTGAAATCAAGACGACGTGCAGGTTATTGAGTGTATCACAGAAAGCGGTTCTACGTATGCAGAACAAAATTTTTTTAAAAATAATTTTAAATTTATAATATGATAGTTGCTGCCATCTATTTTTTGGTATCTTAACCGTTATGAAATAGGAATCTGACTCAAAATCTTTGACCACTGATTGACAGATGTCGCCACCACATAGGTGAAATTATAAATATTACGCCCATTCGTTATTGAAATGATAAGTACAAAATACAAATAAGTAATTCTTTGAAATCGGCTCAAAAATTAATTTTGTTGTCGAAAATGTTACTTGAAAATTTTATTCTGATTCTGTCAGAACTTGAACTGAGGCAAAATATGAATCTGGTTAAAAACTTTGATTATGTGATCACATATAGGAGTTGTCATCGAATAAATATTGATTAGATAATAGTTCTTCAACAGTTGCGTGATTTTCTATACAAAGCGGACTAAGTAGACTACTGTCACGCACCAGTTGTAACTTGGCTCCCGTAAGTGACGTCTTATGGCTCTCGTGGTTACCAAGGAAAAAAATTTTGACTCCCACAGAATCCTGACGTTTTCGTTTATAGCCCAACCTAATCTCCTAAAGTCCCCTACGAGTTTAATGAAAAAACCCAAAATAAAGTTTACAGTCCGAGATGTAAGAAACAATAATAGTGTGGCTCTGCTATGCTTTCATACATCTGTTACAATAATTGGACATTTTCCAAAACAGAAAAAGAGTACACAGCTGTCGAGAGTTTTCTCTCCCGAATTAGGGAGCTGAGTTGTAACTGTAGCGAAATTCCTATCAGTCCCCTTCTCAACTCTCTAAAGGGAAAATCAATATCAGGGTCGTACAAAATTTACCTATAAAGGTATAATTTTCCGATCTTGATATATACTTCCTACAATGAGATGTGAATGAAACTTTACCGCAGAAATAATAGGTGCGAAATAAACATAAAGGTTCAACACAAAAAAATCAATTCAAATATGTTTGTAGGTAATATACCTATATATTTTCAAACGTAAAAATAATTTATTTTGATTTATAACTCAAATAAACTACTATTTCTTTTTAATCTTAACAATATATAGTGATTTGGGTACAAAATCTGTTCATCCAAAAATATTATCATATGAAGGCATTTTTCAATGCACGGTTTGGTTATAAATGCGACTTAAATCTAACGACCAACTAAACTAGTCTGTACATTTCAATGTAAGAGTATTGAAGTAAAACTGTGACTGCAATGAAACATTATTTTTGCTAAAGCTACTTTCCAAATCAATTTTGACACACATTCATTAAAAAAGGCATGAAATTCATTAATACTAAAACACTCTCACTTCAGAGTACTATTCAAAAATTAAACAAATTATTTAAAAGAGGTATACGAAATTGCGACTTGATAAAGAGTTTTAAGGGGCCAATTTCAAACAATTGTAAATTTTGAATTAACAAAACTGGAACCTAATGAATAAGATTATTTGTGTACTCAATAAAAATTATTTATTGCTTATTTTGAGCAATAAAGCTGGAAGATTTGTAATTTGAATGAGAGATTTTTATACAGCTTGTGTGAATATTTTTCTAGGTTAATACCAAGCCTGTCAAAATCACAAACTTATAATAAGTTGAAGTCATAATGACCTGTGTTCAACATGATATAAAATACTACCGTTTTCTTAAGATCTGATTATCTGAATAACCAAAACTAAAATAAATGTAGAACGACATTCAACAAACGAAATAGTTTTCTTATCTTTTACGTAAAGGACCACACTGAATGGTCTGATTTATCTAAGTCACTCCACAACTTCAATGTATGATAAAAACGGAATAGTTTCGTGAAATTGTCTTCTGCCATAAAAATACAAATCAAAATAATCACTACTGTAAACCAACTGCTTGGAAATCTTTTGTAATGAGTTTTCACCATGTCACATGTATTGAAACGAAAAGTGCTTTGGAGCAAAATATTATTTCACCTCATCCTAATTGCAGCATTATAGTACATAAATATTGTGATAAATTTTGTCAATCACACATTCAACATTGCACATGCCAATAAGAACAAGGAATTTTGAATTCCAAATAAAGGTCATAATACTATAAAACATCTGTTAAATCATTGTTACTAGAAACAATAAAAAAAATATCAAAACATTTGCTCTTAACAATTATATACAGTTCGATGGAACTAACTCAGGAAAATGATACGATAAAATAAATAAATAATAAAATCTCCTACAATATGACACGCTGACTTAATAGAACTATTGGCACCAATCCGGTTCCTAAAATAAAAAAGATGTGGGCGTACAATAAGATTGCTTTCATGAAACACTTAATAACATGAAAGTTATTTTTAAAAAATTGAGGTTTACCTTGTAAGGGGGTTCATAACCGCCTTTGCTTCTCATTTGATTTTGGAGGGCTACTAGCTGGTCACCGGGCATCTCAACGTCCCGACTACCTATATGTCCAGTGTGTTGGAAATTTGTCGGATTGCCTATCATTGACCTGCAAGGATGACTGCTTAGTATTGCAATTCAAAAGGAGAAACCGGAAGTCACGTCTTGCACGCTTTTGAAATATAAAGTACATAATTATCCTAATAAGGAGTTTATCTCTTACCTGTCTATTCGACGACGTCTTTTTTGGGGTTGGGGCAAACAACAGCTAAACCAAGATACCCTCAACTCGCTAACTGCCGCCATTTCTGAAAAAAATAGAATATATTCACTTATCCTACTTCACAGCAGGAATTTTCAAGGTGTTTTATGCACAATTTAGATAAATCAGAAGCAAGATAAGATAAAAGTAAATCAATAAAACTGTTATCTTGCAAGAAGGATGACTATTCTCGGCTGCAAGTATGCTTACATATAAGAGATAAAGCACAGTCTTGAAATTATATAAATAGAACTCGCAAAGATAGTTTTTTTTTCAACTCACCTTTGATCACAACCAAGTTATTGCATTTGTGCGTTAGGATAAGAGCACCTTTTAAATAATGTTAGTATCGGTAATGCAAAAATCTTGCATTGAAGAGAAGATATCATCCATACATTTTATTGTTCAGTCTTTCTTTCAGACTTTTATCTGTCTACAAATATCTAAAAACCCGGAGTCAAAAAACTGTCACTGTCAATAATCAGTCATACTTGATGACTCATGAGGTTAGTTCATTTATTACATTAAATGTGCGTTTTGTTATCACTAAACTATTCTGGGTTGACTTATTCCCGCCAAAAGTTATTTGAAGTATTTGTTCCACTTATTTTGATCATTGAACGCAACTAGTTGATTGAGCAGAGATAGCAAATAACTTTTGGCTGGAATGACGCATTTTATGATCTAACCGATCACATTTTTTTCCTCGCTCTCGTAAATACCGGACACAAAGCAAATGTAACTCAGAAAACACTTACTAAGCAAAATTTACCCGAATTAGACGTTTTATCATAATTCTTGGATGGGGCACATTTCATGGTCTTACGAATGAGAGCAACCACGAAAATTCTTTGCTGCGAGAGGTCAATGAGAAGCGTGATCTCAGTTCCTTTGATTATTTCGTTATTTTCATAGAGATAAAATTGATTTATTCAAATTATGCGACGGGGAGTTAGGAGGTCTTTCAGAGAAGGGAGGTTTGAGACAAGCGGAAGGTATCGAACAATAATGTAACAAATTTTGTATACTAATCAGCGTTCTATCAAAAATGCCTTTGAATATTATAGGTGTTATTATTTATGAAATTCATGAGAACTAAAAATAAAAAATGTGTCTATGAAACTCCAAAAATATTTAAAATACTAGGACCGAAATATTTCAATGTTCTAGTTGAAAAAGGGGATATTGAAAAATATGAAACAATACTAATTTGTGAATGATTAAAATTAGGTGAAATGATGAAGATGAAATAATAAACAAAGATGCCAGAAAAAAATGGGAATGAAAATTCCAAATCAAACTACTTCAAAACCTTCTGATTGTTAGTATCCACAATCACTTTCGGTTGATAACTGGTTAATCTTAATTTCTGTTGTTTACATAATATTGACTTATTATTCAATCTATTCAATGATTTTTTTCTTTCCAGGTCACAATAATTTGTTTTTTTACAAATTAGATTCTCTATAATTTCTCAATCCCATATTAATTGTTCATTTTCGTCTAATTTCTTAAATATATTTTTTCAACTCATCATATTCTCCTCAGGTAGACTTCCTTGCCAACTCTTACTCATTGAGGATGAAATGTTTTCTGCACCTAATAAGCCTTTCAGCAAGGATATGTTTATCATTAGGAAATTAGTTATCGGAGCTAATCACGGATCAAATACGTTTTTATCAATTATAGGGTATGTTATCAATACCTTGTAAAACGAACTGAAAATCCCTAAAACAAACTGAAATCAAACCATCTCTCAGGCACTTAAATAGCTGTTTAAATGTCAAACTGTCATCTTGACCTCTTTCTATAGCGCTCTCTGACGGCTACGCTGATGGAGACCCTCATTGTTTTAATTTGCTTTTCTGGGTAATTCTTCTACTATGTGAAGAGGAAGAAAATTTAAAATCTTTTCGGGTTGCAGTTCAAACGATTCTAGGACTGATAAAAATATTTTCCCAGCTGATTATTGAGAGTAGACTCGCGCAAAACTTTTTAAATTTCAACTATGCGACTATATTTGACAGTTCGAAAACCATTCAAATAGCGCATCCGAATCAGCTAAAGACAGGGTTTCCAATTTAGGGGTTTCCCTTTTTAGGTTTTTTTAGGGGTGTTATATTTTTAAATAATCAACTTCAATTTTTTATGGTTCGATTCACGCTGCAACGGAATGATGGATCCTGCACAACATTTCAACCGTCCTCAAAAATGTTAAAATTATTCAATGTTAACATGTATGATCCTAAAAAGTCAGAATCTGTAAAAAATTATTTCTTACTTGAAGCTTCAGATAATTTATGAATAAAGAATAATAAAAAATGATGCTGAATAATTATTATTTATTGTTTGTTTTGAATTTATTATTTGTTTAATTTAATATATATTTTCAATGTATTATCAATGTTTAAATATTCAATTACTTTTTCCATTAATAATACTTTTCTTTAGGGATTTTTGATTGGGACTTTACGGTGATACATTTTTGACAGTTGGGAACATTGGATGAATTCTGTGGATTTCCCTTTCTGTCGATCCGTAAGAGCCGAGCGGTGCGGTTGTTTTGCCTGTGTGATAAAAAAGTCGTGTCGGGAATATCAGAAGATCCACAGATTTCAATCAAAATGTCTAGTGATTCCAACCGATTGAACGGATCTCCAAGAAAGAGAGCCCGCACTGAAGAGCAGCACAAGGTGATGGTAGTCCTTGGAGCCCAATGGGGAGACGAAGGCAAGGGCAAGGTGGTAGATATGCTTGCCACTGATGTAGACGTCGTTTGTCGGTGCCAGGTACTGATTTTTAAATTTGTTCAATTGTTTATCAATAATTTCTGTGGTAGGACTTGGCAAGCACAATTACTTTAAGAGGAACTCTTCTTCATTTTTTTTAACAATGATTTTGATTTCGTATTACCAAATTATGATTTTTTTTGTTTTTATTGTTGAGTTGTATGTGGGAGTTGTTGCATTGAAAATATTTTTAGATGAGTGTCATGTGATGAAACTGTTTGTAATCATTATTATTAGGTAACGGGTAGCTCCCGCTATAAAAAACTTTTGTTTATTTTGCTCAAAAAAATATTCGAATGCCAAGCCAAATGGCATATACCCACAATTTTATATATGTGATGGAATTGGCTGATACTTGATGAGAATCCATAACGTGTTCAAATTACACTTTATTTTACAAAAACGCCACACGTGTTTTTATATGGACTAAATTCAACCTGATTTATGCTTTATATAGTAACAATTTGGATCCTATTATTTTCTACATAAATGATAATTTTATTTGATCCGAGTTGAGGTAAAAACTAATTGAAATTTTTGAATATCATAAACGAAAATTTTACTAACTTCTCAAATGGACATTTTCTGTTTTATGTAATAATGATTGGAATCATATAAATTTCATCCTACTCAATGACTGATACTTTTACATCAGTTTAGATCTATACTATTGTATAGCCAAACACATGTAGCTGTTGTTTGCAGTTCTGTAAAGTGACTAGTGAAAATCTCACAAAGTGTTGCTTGACCAGGGTTTTATAATTAAGAATGCTTTGGCCAAATTAGTTTTTTTTTAAGTGAATATAAATTATAGTTGAAGTGAGCTTTTCTGCATATGCATGATTTGGCGGTAAATTTCCGGTATATTTAATTGTACTGACAAAAATTAATTAAAGCAATATATGTTTTTTATAATAAGTAGAATTATTCATTATACTAGTTTTGTTGCTCGCGGCTTCGCCGGTTTGGAATTTGGTTTGTCACATTAAGTTTCGTGACAGAACCATTTCAAACTAATAGTATTTTTTATTAACCCAAAACTTCAGGTTTTCAACTTCAAAACTGAGGAAATTCAATATAACCTGTGAACCCCTATCATTTCTCCTTGGGGGGTGGAAATTCCTGATTTCCTTTCTTGATGTTTATTTACGCTATACAAAAAACATACCCGCCTGCATATTTCAAGATTCGGCTGTACGTCAATATAAGAGCGAGCAACAGCTAGTAATTTATATTTTCACTTTGAAAATACAGTATAGTCTATCCTTTCCCAATTGGAACGGCAATAAAAATTAGAGTATAGTCATAAACATTTCTTGGCTGTGGCCCCTAGTCGCTCCGATAGTTAGTAAACGTGCTATAAAATGTAGTTGAGGAGTAAAGACTCGGCTAGCTGGACTGGCTGAATACTAATTTTTTGTCCGTTTCACAATATTTCTTTATCAGTGCCGTGTGTTCGTGGGGTTGGTGAGGTAGTGAGTGGTTTTGCACACCGATTTTGTCCGCTCTTTAATCTATTGTTGACAAATTAATTTGCAGGTAGTGGTTCCACTAGTTAATTACCGAAAAATCAATTAGGATAATCATCATTTAACAAACAAAGTCCACATCGGACCAAAAACTTTAGGGTAATTGATTTTTAAAAAAAGTTTTTACACCAAAGGCTCCAATCTCATCGTTTAAACCGATTTTTGTGAAAATCTTAGTGTTTTTGGGTACTTTCATCAATATGGCTTTCTGGAGACCTTTTGATACAAATGATAACATTCATGTTATACATGTTCAAGTTCAGCGAGTAATTTTAAGTATTAATGAATGCTTGAAGAAGGAAAACTGTCACACTTCACAGAATGTTATTGTGAATAGAATATGCGAGTTAACGAAACTATCTCGTTCGATAATTCCTCGAGTCATTAAAATGGGAGATGTCATTGACCATGCAATGAAACGAAAACAAAGGAATAAAAAATTCGTAAACGTTGATGGTGATACAAAACATGTGATTCGGCGAACAATTTATGTTATATACCGAAAAATGAGGTACCAACCTTGGAAATAATTTGGTATAAATTACTCGACTATCCCGATTACAATTACAAATCTTAGAAACTCTACGAGGTGTCTTACTGTCTTGTGGTTTCAAATATAAAAAATTGAACAATCGGATGGTCATAATGGAATCGACACGCATTGTTCAACTCCGACAAGAATATTTGAGGCGAAACTTGGTTTGACATCCATGATATATTGATTTGATGTGTGAAACACATGGTCATATTCTCTTACGTTTGCCTCCATACTATTGTGTGTTCAATCCAATTGAAATGGTTTGGGCCACAATGAAAGAAAGCTTGCGGAAATGTAATCAGTCACCGACTTTGATTGCTGTTGTGCTTGACAATATATGGCGAGTGGTAAATAAAGTAGGTAATAGTGATGTATGGAAGAACTGTGTGGCCCACGTTATAAAAGAAGAGAACAAATATTATGTGCAAAGTTCCATAAATCCGATCGTTATTCAACCCGATGATGATTCCACCTCATCCGAATATAGCGAAAAAAAATTTTGACTTTTCTAGCAATTTTGTTGCCTTCTATTATTTTGTAAATATGTTTGACGAGAATTCGGTGTAATTATTTGTGTTTTCATTGTATTTTAGAGTTTTCGACTCGGAAATTAACTACCTTAAGTGTCGAGGCGGGAATTCCTTCTCTGTGCTGTTCCAATTGGTATTGGAAATACTATAACTAAAATGATATGCCAACTGCACTAAGTAATGAATAGCTTCGAGAATCGAATTATGTTACCTATAAAGAAATTCGCAAAACTAACACAACCGTCAACGACACCTGCCCGCGTTCGAGTCGGCTTCTCGGCGATGGCGCTTCATTGCTTAGACCGCTCCTCTACCCTCGCGCATGTCATTTTGTTCTCTATGGACTTCTCAATGTAACCGTCGAGGATTTCCAACCTCTGTGCCTTTTCATGACTAATGTTTCTATTCCATTTTTGGAAGAAGCTTTACAAAAGTATTTGAAAAAACAAGTCTTCAAAGAATCATCTGGCAGCAGAACATTTTTCTACATCGAGTATTATTCTTTCCAACGATTTGGTTGGTACAAACTTGTGAAGATTTAAGGAAAAATCTGATTTATTATTTCATTTTAATTAAAATGGACGGATGTCATGTAAAGTCACATTATATAATTATCAGTTTTTGTTACATGATGAGGTTTGTGTAAACTATATCAATATAGTTCATCAGTCGATAATTTAATTGTTCTCTCAAGTACTAGATCTGAAGGAGAGTTTATATAGATAAAACCATTTGATAGAATATAAAATTCTCTTTTCTACTATAACAAAAGTGATCATTTCCTTTCAAAATGGCGCCGTAGGGGCCATTTTTTCCAATTCATGATGGCCGCACTATTATAACATCTATAAAAATTTTGCCAACAACTTCCTTAGGGAGAACCTACCTGCATATTTCAAGATTCTAGGTTCAGTAGCTTCGGCTGAACCTACTTTATTTTAAAAATACAGTAATTGAAACAATATGACTAGCTTCGAGAATCTGATTATGTTACTTATAAAGAAATTCGCAAAACTAAAACAACCTTCAACGACGTCTGCTCTTACGCGTCTGACGGCGTTCGGATCGCGTTCTCGGCGATGGTGCTTCATTGCTTAGACCGCCCTTTACCCCCGCGCATCGTCTCGCTCGATTCACTTTTTGAACTCAACTGCCCTCTTTGTACGACAAGCCGGCCTTATAAATCGGTAACGATCGTTCTAGAATTCTATAGTCGTTTCGGTACTCAACTAGAGTTTAATCGGCGGTTGCCGACTGCATTCCTTTTGCGTTGATGTCATGTGTTTGTTCGCTGGCCGACATATCGGCTTCGGATTCGTTGCAATATATTGAACATCCATACAATATTGAAACGGTTTGATTGGAATGAAAACGTTTTTCATTCATGCCATAAAAAAAGCCTTACATGCAAACAAGATGCTCATATTTGTTCTAAGAAATTGTCGAAAATTCACAAATTTGAGTATCCTGAAATGAAATGTCCTGTATAGTAAATACGAAGTCAATTCGAATAACATAAAAACTAAATAGTTACCGAACATCGCCAGTTTCTTTGTATGGCATGGGCGGCGTGGTATTCATACGAGGTCTGATCATTATTTTTGTGTGGGAGGTTTTGTATGGCATTAACTAGTAAATTTATCAGACCCGGTTCATTAGTCTTTCATTTAGATGTTCGTATTGACTTCATATAGACTATAAATGTTGTTCTGTTGGGCAGTGAACAGATATTATTATTGTTTGTTTGAAGGCGATTGACAATGTTTCTTGATGAATTTCATTAGTTCGGACTTCCTCGCTGTGTGTGTTTCTTGTGCTCAGCAATGCGGACTTTCAATAGCCTCTTAGTTTCACCGATAGAGTTGCTGCATTCACAGCATCCATTTTTGAATTTTATTTTTATTTCCTCGTTCGTTATCAGTTCTACGAGTTCTTCTTCCAGCTGGGGTGATCCTGCTGTGTTGACATTTGAAACCCAGTCCGATATTTCCAATTTTAAAATGCCCATTCTGCAAAATCACTGTGGAGGTTCTCCAAATGTTGGCAGTAAACAAGCAATCGTCGAAATTAGGGAAATTGCGAAACTCTCGTCTGCTGATATCATTCTTGTATAAGAGCAATTTGGCTACAAAAGCAGCAATGACATGTTTTGTTTTAATCAAATTCAAGTCGTCACCTTGAAGTTGGAGATTTACATCATTAAATAATTCAAACAGGTCTGTCAAGTACGCGATATCATTCTTTGAAGTGATGAGGTTGTCGTGCAATTCTTTGTCTTTGTTTTGCAAGAACTCTATTACATAGTCAAATAGATTGTAAAATCGAGTCAAACAGTTACCTCTTGATAACCAACGTACTTCTGTATAAAATAGCAATCGATTGAAATCATCATTAGCAACACAAAGCTGATTAAATAATCTGTCATTTAAAGAGCTGTTTCGAATTTTATTGACTTCTTTAATGATATATTGCAGTGATTGAGAGAGGCGCTCAATCACTGTAGTTATTACTTCTTTTATTGCTGGTAAAATGAAATCCTCTCCAATAGTGTGAGGTTGACATGTTTGAGCAATTAGCAAGGAGATATTGTAGGAAGCTCGGAGTCCGTCGTCGTCTTGCTTGGAAGCCGCTGTAAAAAGTTTTGACCCAGTTGGCTGAGCTGAGTATTTCTTTTCCAGTTCTTGAAAATAAGTCACACTTTTGTTTTTTTATCTGAATGCATTTTTGCATCAAATGATTTTGTAGCCTTGAGGGTTTCATCGCTTCATTCGAAAATGTTGTTTGACAAAGAAGGCACCAGGCGAAGATGGATTTGTGGGATTTTTAATAAATCCATATTTTATATATATGCTAATGACACCACTCACAGTATTCACCACCGCACGTACAGCACTTTACCTAGCTAGTCGCTAACTAAATTCACTTGTTTTCGTAATATCGTCGAATGACATTACTGGCTGGATGGCGCGTGCGCTTTTATATGAGGCAGCGGGCGGGCCTTGTACTTTCGAGAATGGAGACTAGAAACTTCTCGCTACGCATTGAAGCTTACCGCCATCTATTGTACAGTTTGCAACTATCGGATAGGAAATAGTTACTGTCTAGTCCCCTAGATGGCGTTACACGAGGAAACGCGCGTTAAGCGTAAAGGAGAGGTAAAGTTTGTGTTTAAAGCAAAAAAACATTTAAAAGCCATCGCCTCCCTAAACTGCTTCAACGCCTCCCAATCTTCTCTGTGCCCTTTACTGCCCCCCTGTAGGCCTCCGGCGCCCACAAGGGGGCGTTATCGCCCACTTTGAGAAATACTAGTCTTGATGATTCCTCTTTTAGTTTAGTCGATATAATATTAGACAGTGGAAGTCCGAACTAATGAAATTCAGATATTATTATTATTATTCTATTCATGTGTGAATTTTATGAATGTGTGACTGTATATATATTAATTAAAAAATGTTTTCAGGGTGGAAACAATGCCGGACACACAGTAGTGATAGACGGTGTCGAATATGATTTCCATCTCTTGCCTAGTGGAATCATACACAGGAAGTGCAAATCCGTTATCGGTGAGATTTTTACACTACATTCTACGAGGCAAAGCATGTTTTCGATTGTTTTTCAGGAAACGGCGTTGTCATTCATCTTCCAGGAATGTTCGATGAAATCGAAAAAAATGAAAAAAAGGGCTTGACGGATTGGCGTGATCGATTGATAATATCCGACAGAGCTCACCTGGTTTTTGATTTCCATCAGCAGGTTGACGGACTGCAAGAACAGGAGAACAGCCAGAAAGGTCAGGGACTTGGCACAACCAAAAAAGGAATCGGCCCGACTTATTCTTCCAAGGCAACAAGGAATGGTATCAGAATTGGCGACCTCCTGGGCGACTTTTCCCAGTTTCAAAAGAAGTAAGATCATCTCAATATTTGGTGGACGTGTTTCCATTAGAATTTGATTCTATTCGTTCAATAAAGAATAGTTTCAAGTAGTTATGTTTTCTGTCAAAATGGTTAATAATTTTGCGGTCGAGGTTTTTGGAATTTTTTCCAGATGTTTCGCTGACGGGAGTGACTAGCTTCTTCAGAGGATTGTTTATACATCCTGAGGGAATCTCCGATGACTGGATATTACGAAACCACCAAAAATTCCACGGGAACCAGGCTGAAGAAGCATGAGAGAAACTGCAGACTAGGCCAAACAGACAAGTTAGCTGTAGCGGAACAAGCACTCTGTGAATGAAACTACGGGATTCTGTTTGAAAACACGGAACTCATTGCCCCCAACAAGGGATATCATAGCCGGCTGGTACAGGAGGCAATAGAGATTCACAAACACACGTATAATTTCAGCAGAAGAAAACGATGCTGGAAGTTCCGTTTCTGATAAGGTGGTGAACGGACGTGCCGATAACGACCGTCCATAAAGAAGCTACGGCGGACGCCATTGTTGGAAATGGAACTCAGTTTGTGTTGTGACTGCCCGCCGTTATATACCGTGCCACCATCAAAATAAATATTAGCATTAGTGTTAACGAGATTTATATAAGTATTAAAAGAGAACTAGCAACCTCATTCACGCCGGTTAGAGGCCGGGGTAGATCGGATGTCCACGTGGGAGCGCTAAATTGGAATTACATTACACCTACTCCCATTCACGCCGATGGAGGCCGGAGTGGACCGGATGTCCACGTGGGAGTGGTAAAACGGAATAAATGTATATAATACCTGCTCCCATTCACGCCGGTTGGAGGCCGGAGTGGGCCGGATGTCCACGTAGGAGCGCTAAATTGGAATTACATTACACCTGGCCGGAGTGGACCGGATGTCCACGTGGGAGTGGTAAAACGGAATAAATGTATATAATACCTGCTCCCATTCACGCCGGTTGGAGGCCGGAGTGGGCCGGATGTCCACGTAGGAGCGCTAAATTGGAATTACATTACACCTACTTCCATTCACGCCGGTTGGAGGCCGGAGTGGACCGGATGTTCACGTGGAAGCGCTAAATTGGAATTACATTACACCTACTCCATTCACGCCGGTTGGAAGAATATGGTGATAGTTTAAATTAAATTGTTTTTATAATAAAAAAAAAGTTCGACAAAAAAGGGGTGGCGGCGTTGCTTCGAGCAAGACTGCTGCGCCCCAATGACGAAGCTCCCCTCAACTTTGATAGAAGGAGGATGAACAACTGCGCCCGAGTCGAAAGCAACGTCCAATAATATGAAAGAAAGAGAAGCTATGAACCTCAATCGAATGACTACCTGAGTCAACATACATTCGCTTTACGAAATTTACCTAATCCAGTTATAGGTATTAGCACACCAAACTACTTGAGTCAACATAAATACGCTTCACGAAATTTACCTAATCCAGGTACAGGTATTGGCACACCAAATTACCTGAGTCAATATAAATACGCTTTGCGAAATTTACCTAATCCAGGCACAGGTATTAGCACACCAAATTACCTGAGTCAACATAAATACGCTTTGCGAAATTTACCTTATCCAGGCACAGGTATTAGCACACCAAATTATCTGAGTCAAAATATATAAGCTTTAAGAAATGTACCTGATCCAGGTACAGGTGTACCAAACTATGTGAGCCAGCATAAATACGCTTCACAAAATTTACCTGATCCAGGTACAGGCATTAGCAAATTTAACTGGTCCAGGTACAGGTATTAACACACCAAACCACCTGAGTCGACATATAAACGTTTTACGTTTTACCAGGTACAGGTATTAATATAACAAACTTCAACAACATAAATACCCTTCACGAAAGTTACCTGATCCAGGTACAGGTATTAGCACACCAAACTACCTGAATTGACATATAAACACTTCACGAAATTGACCTGATCTAGGTACAAGTATTAGTATACCAAACTACCTGAGTCAACATAAATACGCTTCACGAAATTTACCTAATCCAGGTACAGGTATTAGCACACCAAAGTGCGAGTACGAGTTACGCAGCCGTAATTTCCAGTCATCGTTGATTACCTCAGGATGAATAAACCTCTGAAGAAGCTTGCCACTCATGCCAGCGAAACGTCAGGAAGAAATTTCTATTTGTATTTGCAGGTTCCAAGACTTGGCCAATCTCCACGAGAGGATGTTTCCGTCTTTGAAGGTGGATATAGAAGCAGAGCTGAAGCGTTACAAAGAGTATGCTGAGAAAATCAGGCCTCAAGTTAAGGATACTGTTTCATTCCTCGACAAGGCAATTCGTTCTGGTAAAAAAGTATTGGTGGAAGGTGCTAATGCTGCGATGCTGGATATTGATTTCGGTGAGTTACAAATTTATAACTTCACTATTATACACAAAGGGAAAACCTGTTTATGCTGTTTCAGCACAGCATTTATTGAATGTTTGCAATATGGGGTTTAAATGACATTTTTAGGTCGAGAGTGATTCCTAAATATCTGATTGTGTTTGTTGTTTTCAGTTCTGATTGATTTTATATGGCCGGCTAACGTGATTTTTGTTTTGGAAAAAAGTAAATTTTTGACATTTGTCTATATTTAACTGCAGTAGATTTTTATCACACCAGCGTACAAAGTTAGATAAATTCTACTGTAATAATTCTGTATCAGTTGAGTCATGAATAACTTTAAACATCTTCAGGGCATCAGCAAACAAAATAAATTTACTAATAACATCTTTCAAGTCATTTACAAATAGGTTGAAAAGCAATGGCCCTAAATGAGAACCCTGTGGTACACCCGATGAAACTGATTGAGGAAGATACTGAGTTACCATATTTTACAAATTGGACTCTGCAGGCTAGATAATTTTCAATCCATTTCAGAATGTTTTCTTGAATACCCAAAGTGTTTAGTTTATGCAACAACAATTTGTGATTTGCCTTTTGAAAAATCTGTGTGAATAGAATCCACCTGGTGTCTATTTTCGAAGGCATTTATTATACAGTGTTGATAAATGAGCAGATTTGTGCTGGTAGATCTACCACCACTGAAATCCATGTTGTTGATTAATGATTATATGTCTACAATCCCATGTTAGCTTTTTTGTAATTAGGCTGTCTAACAATTTGGGTAATTCTGATTGATTACAGACTGCTCGATAATTTTTTATATCATTATGTGATCCACTTTTATAAATATGTTTCAAAAAACTGTTTTTCCAGTAATCTGGAAAGATGGACGATATGGGTCTACTAATACGTATTTATTTTAATCGGAATAAGCGTTATTTGAATCAGTGCACTTTTGCTAACGTAAGACAAGTCAACGAATTCCGTCAGCATTAAAAATGAGTGCTCGGGATTCGATGAAGTAGACGAGGGCCGATTTTGCCTGGTCCTGATCGGCGGAGGTTCTAGCGGTGAGAATGTTATCAAAGTGCTTGAATAGATGGTAAAGAAGGATCGTTTTGGTTGCTCAAAAGCAAAAAAGAACAGACCTCGAAACGTGACATTTTCTGTCAATAGTTCAAATCGTTTGGTACCCAGATTTTCGCGTTTTAAACCATCAAATACAGCATGGGAGAAGGTTAACAAATACACGATAAAACGGAAAAATTACTATCCAAGAATATGTAGAGGCAATAGGAATCCAGAAACAGGGATAGTTTCGATAGAAAAGAAGAGGCAATGAACATTGATAAAATCTGGCTGCCTGTCCTCAACTATACACAAACGAGGTCATTTAATTCAATTAAGAGAAATGAAATCACGCCCACCTATGATAATTTAAAATCGGGACAAATTTCAAAACATTGTAGTTTCTGAGAACAACTCAAGCACTTCGATGTTACCACGGCTAAAATACCCGGAGTATACACTCTTCAAACCTAGAGAATCTTGTAACCCTCTTTTTGTTCACTTCAAAATTTGCACAGTATTTGTTTTTTTTTTCAATGGGAACAGTATGTTCTGATTAATAATAAACGCAAGATGTTTGGTTACTTAGCAATCTGGAGAAATATAAATGATATTGATCAGGTAGGAAAATTTGCAATCATTTTATTGCGAAATCGATCTTACTATAGTATAAATTATAAATTAACTCGTCAGTTCAATCCATTTATTGTTTTTGCAACATTTTTATATTTTGCCTTTGTTATTATATTTTCAACAAGACTTTGTCAACGAGAAATATTTCTTATGATAATGAAGCATGTTCTAATATTCTGAATCGGTTTTTTATTTCTCTTTTGAGGTCCATCAAATGGTAATTTTCTAGTTTAACAATCAGACTGACAGTATAGAAAATATAATATCATGTTTGCAATACGAAACATTGTTTAAATTATTGTTGTACTCGCATGAAAAATAATCACTACCTATTATGTTATTCATAAGATATCAGTTAGTTTATCTTATCTACGATATTCATAATGAATATTTAACTATTTCTTTTGAAAGGATTCTTGCTCTTATCTCAAAACTAATGACTTTTATGAAAATAATAGTCCTTCCGAGGAGTTCTCCTGGGAAGGAGAAGGAGTTGTGCCCAATCGTTACATGGCCATTAACATACAGGTCCAGAGGGGTCAGACCAGTAATTAATTCCATTGCCGTTGGTGTTGTTCTGATGTCTCCTGTAATGTTTAAACAAGCCAATCGCTGAATTTGAAATAATTTTTTGATGGCCGTTGCTTGTAGAACTTTCGGTCCCCATGCCAATGGCTCCATCTGTTAACATAGGTCTTATAGGTCATTTTATTGACATATTAANAAACTTACCTTTCACACAGTTTAAGAACAAAATAAAACTATACCTAAAAAGAAAAGCGTTCTATAGCACTGAGGAGTACCTTCAAAATAACTTTAGGGACATGCATTAAATCATTTAATTCTTTTTAACAATGTCTGTGCATCATTTTTTTTTATATCTGTAAGTGCTAGTTGTCAAGTATACTGTTTATATGCATTTATTGTAAATTTTTATCTAATAACGTATTTTTTTTTTCTTTTCGACTTGTGTAAATACTGCTGTATATTAGCATCAATAAATGATTATTATTATTATTATTATTATTGCACTATAGATCCAAATTCTACACGGGGTGTACTACACGGCAGACCACGGCCAATAACCCGGAAAATAGCTTTCACACAACTTTGAGAACGTTTTAAATTGACGCAATATATGTTTTCATCGTCAAAACCTGGAAGGAATCCCAAAAATTTCGACTTCATCATTAGAGAATAGGATGAATTTCGAAGAATATTGATTTTCGTCATTTGCCAAAACATTTAACCCAACTGACTGATTTATTTCAGACTTTGGAAGTGGGCCAAGGGTTAGTGAAAAGGTTTTATAAAATGAATTACGTAAACTGATGAACTCAATTTCTGTCATGAATTTGTGACATTTGTTACCGATAAATCAGGAAAAGTTCAAATACTTTGATCAGCAGTACTTTTAAGAGGAATATTTATTGAGAAAATATAGTAGTTGAGGTCATAATATTCTACTCCAAGATATCATTTGAAAAATAATATCAACGATTGGAATTACTGTCTGTCATACAGTCTACGCAATAAGTTCCTTCTCAAAAATTTTCCGTCCACCTTCATCGAATATTTTGAGGTGTTATTGGATTCGAGATGGCATCTGGAAACTTTTTGAAAAATTTGAATGTTTCCGCGAGAGAAGATAGCAAAAGTTATTAAAAAACAAGTGAAAAAATATAAAAATGTTTCGTTTTAACCGAATATCTCGAGAAGTATCGCAGATATTCAAAATATGAAAAAATATCCGTAAGATTAAGCTTTACTCACGGAATTCTTGCATCAATATTCAGATGTGAAAGTAAGGCTAGAAACGAACAGTGACGATAACGAGCTCACTTCCCAACTCGCTTCTTTTTCAAAAAAATACGAGGTGGTCCCAGAAATACCTAACAAGTCCTAGACATAGCGGTAGTTGTTTGAAAAATATCACTGTATTAGAAAATTAACAATCTATGAAGCCAACGTTTCAAGTTTGAAGACGCTGCGTTGTTTAGTATATATTTGGCAGCCGTCAGTAGCGAAAGTTTTCGGTGAATTTGTGAACATAGAGAAAATTGGTAATCGTTATGTGGTATAGTCGAAGTAAACGACATTGTGCAGATTTAAAGGTGGCGGCACTCTCAAAGGCCAAAAAACCAATACAGTAAAGCCGCTACCAACTAGTCCACGTGGACTGAAGAATTGGCGGTTCGTTGGATAATTTTTACTGACCGAGTTTTATGATTGGCTGAAGAGTCATAAAATTGAATTTGAAGTCATTTTACGGTGACGAATAGAAATCGGGGAATGTGGGGATGGTTATCGCCGTCGTGTTCAGTTCAGGAACTGATCGCGATTTGAGTGTTGAAATTCGATATTGATGCAGTTATAATAACTTAAAATTTGTATTATCCGTTTGAAATGTGGCGTCCTTGGACAATAATAGTAATAACGAGTGTGATAACAACGCAGACTTTTTCCAGTGTTGTGATTCCAATAGCGATGGTGAACAATGCGAAAAAGAGATACCAGTGAATAAGATTCGGATGCATTGAATATTGAAACACAGATAGTATGTTTCAATGTATATAAGAATCTACATCTCAAGTAGGGTTTCGAGGAAAACAAAATATTACAAGTAACATCAGATTTGACCGAAATTCCTTTCTCAACCGTACGTAAAATAGTCAAAAACAAACCTTATGAACGCAAGACGCGATGTAATAGAGGATTACAAAAACCTTTAGATGTTCATCTAATAAAATCATGACGTGAGCTGCTGTGATGTCATTCACTGGATTCTTACACAACATAATTGATGAAAGAAGTAAAGTTTCACTTACATGGAACATTGTCATCCTCGCTGCTAAACAACCGGTGTTTCGCCGTAATTCACTTGCCTTATCGGCTCGTCAGTAGCTAATACGGATAAAATTATAAGGTAAGATTACCACATTTTTTGTATCAAGATGGAGGAGAAGTAGAAGGCCTAAAACTTTCTTTCCCAAAGACACACATATATATTTTTATGTATTTTTTACTAAGAAATGAAAAAATATCACACGAAATTCATTTATATATGACAATTTTTTATTGAATAAACACATAAGAATTGAACAAAAACTATTTCAAAAGAAAGTTATTTCTCAATATCAATACTCACTATTGATAATTGGAAAATACGTCTTTAAGCAATAAATAAAATGTTTGAAACTGTTTTATATATCTGTTTTTTCACGGTTTTTATGCAAATTATTGAAATGTAAAAATCTCCTTAACAAAAGTATAATTAAAAAACAAATTGTGGTAATATATTTTTTGCAACGTATTATCGTCCAATCATGCATTTGAATGAAAATTACTGAAGTTTTTTTCCCAACACCAAAACGTTATTTTAACACCTCGACACGTGTTTCGATCACAAAGTGATCATCTTCAAGACGAAGTCCTCTTGAAGATGATCACCCCAACACCAAATCGTTATTTTAACACCTCGAAACGTGTTTCGATCACAAGGTGATCATCTTCAAGACGAAGTCCTCTTGCAGATGATCACTTTGTGATCGAAACACGTGTCGAGGTGTTAAAATAACGGTTTGGTGTTGAGAAAAACCTCCAGTAATATTCATTATTACACCAAAGATTGCAAACAGTGCATCACAAATGCATTTAAATGACAACTGAATTTTTCATTCATCAGTATTTATATCCCAAAATTCACTTTAAATATTTTCGCCTCAAATTGTGATTAGCTTTAAATCTTTCGACCTAGATATAAAGATCCAAAATGCTTTTGTTACATTAACAGAGTTTTTTTTTCTTGGCTGAGTTGTATTGTTAGCATAATTCAGCTGTTTTCCTAGCTCAAGGTTAAAACTTAAATCGACTGACGATTTAACTGAAGTGTGAAATGATATGCTTGGTTAATCTTTTTTTATTGACAAATTTCATCGTTATAAACAGTGGCGTCCTGAAGATTTCTCGTGAACAATTAGTTTTTCCAAAATTTCATATTTTGTTTTAAATACTATGATTCAAACATTCTTTACAAATGGTTTGAAAAAATGTCATAGGTGGGATACCTAAATAGTTTATCTCATAAAGGCTTAATCGAATTTGATAAACTACCACAATTTGTAAAAGAATCTAATTCAATTAACCAATTAAAGTCATCATTAAAGAAGTATATTTGACAGCTCATTATGATATTTGTTTTTTTTTTGTTGGTGTTTCTTTAATGTGATCTAACCTAACAATCTATAGATATGTACTTATTTTGTTTTTCTTCAAATGTACTTTCAAGTATTCACTATATTTACATAGTTTAATACTGTTTTAAGATATTCATAAATTTGTATTTTTTTTGTATACTTACTAAATAAAAAAATATTTGGGTAAAAATCATTGTCGCCACTGTTTTCACTAAATATGATATTATTCGAGGTAGCTTAACTTTATCGAATCGGAGTCACGCATCATTATAGTTGAAAAATGTGTTTTGAAATGAAGATTTGTTTGAATAGTAGAAGGACGCCGTATTTAAACTGCCAGTGAATTTGTATTCTAGTCGGAGAAGATCATTAGGTAGTACCTAATGAAAAATAATTAAAACGGATGCTCAAAATGAAAATCATGACTTGCAATGCAAGCGTGAAGTATTCTTCTCATCGAGTTCAGCACACATTAAACATTTTTGGGGTGATGCGATGTGTCTGCTTTTTTAAATATTTTTTTTGGGTTGAATGCAGCCCCACTTTTGACTATTTTCTAAGATTCATTTCTTCGAGGCTTTTGTGCCACTTTAGCACTGGAATTCGAACATATTGTTATGTTTTTACCCGTGGGTTTACAAATAATTGGCTACACTGAAAAATAATCAAACTCAACTTTATTTCACTTCAAATACAACAGACACTTCAACTAAAATTTCAACTATTCGAATGTCTATGCCTTACTAGATCGCTTCGCGTACCGCACTGTAACTTCCACTTGACTGTGTTGATATGCTCGTGGCTAGCGTTTATACATATATCGTAATCGAATGCGGTAGAAAATTCGCCGGAATTCCATCGATGTCCATTCTCGCTAAATCTAGAGCGGCAGCGAACATCTTACATTCACGCGCTCTTAGCTACGTCACAGTTGGTTTATGGCTACCAGTTGCGGTAGCCACTGCTATTGTTTTTCAAATATTCAAAATATTCCCCATGAAGATCTATACACTTTTGCATGCGTTTGAACCAATTGTCGAAGCATTGTTGCCACTCTGATTGAGGTATCTCCAAAATATGCATTCTGAATGCAGCAACCGCGGCAATAAAAAGAAGTCATTCGGTGCCAAGTCAGGACTATACGGCGGATGACTCATCAGATCTATGTTTTGGGTGCTCAAAAATGCAGTTGTTCTAGACGATGTGCAGAGCTAACATTGTCGTGGTGAAGAATGATTCGTCTTCGGCGGTTGATTTTCCTGATTTTTAGGAAGACAACTGGCAAACAAATAGTTGTGTACCACTCAGAATTGACTGTTCTGCGTTGTTCTAGTGGTACTTTCGGGCTCATACGCGTAAATCCACGATTCATCACCTGTCACGATGTCATAGACGTGTTTCGAAGCATCGCGATCATATTTTTTGAGCATTTTCTTCGACCAATCGACACGAGTCTTTTTTTGAGCGAGTGACAAATTGTGTGGGATCCAACGCGAACAAATTTTTTTGACAGTCAAATGTTTACGCAATATTGAATGTATGCTGGCCCCACTAATGACTAAGGTTGTCTCAATCTCACGATAGGTCACATGACGATCTTCGCACACAGCATCAATGGTTTTCGGAACAACAACTGATATTGGACGACCTTCACGAAATTCGTCTTAGAGTGAACTACGATATGTTGTTTGTCTTTAACGATCTCCCTCTACGGATGGCAATATATTTTTGAGAAAACTAGAGCTTCTCTTGTCTGACCTGCCGATAAATAGTTCTATAATCGTAACAGGTGATTTCAATATCAATTACAATGACTGTGATTCTCTGGTTAATGAGTCACTGAAGAACTTACTTTTATCATTTGACTTGAGTATGCACGTTGATACGGATACTCGCATCTCTCGATTTTCTGCATCCTGCATCGACTATGTCTGTAGCAATATTGACAAGCAAAATGTTTCATGCACAGTTATTCCATCCGGATTATCTGATCATGAAGCAGTGATATGTTCTATTCTGTTAAAATCAACAAAAAAACAAACCATACATAAGTATGGTAGATTGTTCAGTCGTTCAAACTATGATAGGTTCTATCAAAACTGCCTTGAAATAGACTGGGTGAGCATACTCTCTGAATGTGACCCCTTTTTATCATTCCACAGTGCATTGTCTGATGTGTTCAATAAGTCGTTTCCAGAACAAATAATTAAAAATAAATGTAAAAAGCCATGGGTGACAAAAGGACTGAAAACATCCTCTAGAAACCTGCGCTTACTGCATTATATCAGAAAATTCACGAATGAAACATTTTTCTGGAACTATTTCAATAATTACAAAAAAGTATATCGATCCACTATCAGTCTAGCTAAGAGAATATATTA